TCCTGCTGCCCCCTCCCTTTGTGCAACCATTGTGACACAGTTCTGTGCACTGGCACTCAGAGAGGATTTGGCTATCCTCCACTGAAAGCTTTTACTGCAGTTTCAGGATCACCTGTAGGAAGAACACCCCACTCAGCTGTTGATGTGGCAATACCAAGGAAAGATAGCCTCAAACTATCGCTTTTAAAGCAAAATACAGGAATTGTACAGCTCCTTTCCCACCAGTTTGGTCACCTACATCTTGCCATAATAGAGCTCCTTGGCACTGTCCAGTGTCCCCCCTTTGGTGCACTCATTTTGAATGTATGACCTTCACTCCTGTCCTTGTACTGTCTTTTTGTTGTCCCAAGTGATCAGTGATGTATGTGCCCTTAGTGCCCCCCCTCATCAAGGTGGGGTACTAGCTCTATTTGGCAGGTTTCAGCCCATGTTTTGGAATGGGTCATCAAAAGGCCTGCCACAACACCGATGTCCAGGGCAAGGAGAAGTCTCCCTCTTGAGAGACTGCGGATCCAGGAGCTTCTCCTGCCCCACCCCAAAAGAGCCAGACTGTGGGTATGAATTGGCTGTATGAATGTTAGCAAGAGCAAATGAACATAGACACTTACTCCAGTCATGGTTTGCATTGCTGAGACCCTAGAGGTCAGGGGGCTGCTTGGCTATAGCTGGCAGGAGGAAGGTGACACCTGGAAGGAGGGAGAAGAAAAGATTCTGGTGACGGGGGACCTGCAGGGGTCTGCCTTTGTGTAACCCATCCGCATCCTGGATTTTCACCTATTCCCAAAAATGCAGCCTCAATCTCTATTCAGATCCCATTGCCACCCACAGCAAATACAGTGCTAAAAGCACATATAGGTTGGAAGTAAAAAACTCAAAAGTTATGAAATGTTAAAATGAAGGTCCCAACTCTACTCACTATTCCACCCATGCCCCCATTCTTCTCCTGAGGTTCCCAGTTCTGCCGCATAGGGGCTAGCGTGAGCCAAAGGCAACGCCCACTTTTCCTCCCCACTACATATTTTCATGGCGCAGAGGAAAGCTGGCAGTGAGACAGGACTGCACAGCTCATCAATGTACTGTGGTGAGGGGGAAAATTCCCCATTTCCAGGAATTCTCTGTATTCCTCAGAGAAATGGGGTGGGGGGCAGTGTTACAATCAGTAATGCCCATATACCCCCACTCTTCCCCACGCTGCACCCTGCTAAAGACAAACAATTCCACTAAGACCCACACAGTACCGCTTCTGCAATGTTAAAGACCCAGCAGACACAACTAGTCTCACATACATGCACTAATGCATTACATGCTATGTGACACACATAGTCAGCCATAAATCACACATACTAGTATAGCCAGGAAGACACAGATCTCCCAATCTCCAGCTCTCCCATTGACCAAGTCCACATCCTGATCTCCTGAACTTAGGCCCTTGCCTTAATTGGCTCTTACCTGTGACGCCCATTTTTAGGCTCCCCATCTTCAATTGCTCTCAATTCTCTTTGTATTCATAGGAGAGGTAAGAATGGATGTATTATGTCCATTAATGCCTTCCCCCAAGCACTGTAGTAACATGCATTGGGCAATATCCAAGACAAACAATTTCACCTTAACACAAATAGTCCCCCTGCCACACTGTTGATATCCACCAGACACAATCTCACAATTACACACCCACATGCATCACACACTGCCTATTATCCACAACCACTCTGTGGGTACATCTACACAAGATGCTATGTTGCTGTAGCAATGAGCTACTGAGGTGTAGCTTCTTACTACATGAAAGGTGACAGAGATGCTACTGTCAGTAGCAACAAGCTACTGCACAGTAACAGCTAAAAATAACATGGTTAAGGGACTGTGCAGTAACACTGGTTACAGCGCAGTCATAAGCAAGTACTAAATGACTGCTCAGTAACAACTAGGGAGTTGGCCACTTGTGTAGACACGGTAAATAATTCATTCATGTAGTCATATAGCTTCTGTTGTCCAAGAAGATTTAAGAAAGTTATGAGACTTACTAAGCAGGGCAAACACCATGACCATGAAGGTGGTTTTCCTACTGGCAGGGGAAAACCGTGAATGTGGTGGGGAGCAGTAAAACCCCAATTAAAATGGCACTGTGTAGTGGAGGGTGCACCCTGGTCTGCTTGTGGACAGGAATCCCTATGAGACCCTCATAGTTAGCCTTCCACTTTGCCCTCCATTGGGAGGATCTTGACTGCATGCCAACTTTATGGAAATGGGAGACTCCTCCCTAGTTTGTTCCTGTGGTCATACAGCAGAGGGCAAGCAAAACTCAGGGGCATCCGAACCCCAAGCCTCCTGTCTTGGAACCTGTACGTAGGATGCTCACCAAAGAAATTGTAAGTATCTGAAGCCCCAGGCTGGGGTGCAGGATGCTTGCTGGTAAGAGGGCCACATATGATTCTTGAATGACTCACGCGGATTTGGAATTGATTTGGCTGATTTGACCGTGGACATAACAATTTTCCATCAAAAAATTTAAAAAAAAGAAAATTATGAGAAGTCATATCTTTAAATAAAATATTTCTAGAGTATTAGTGAAATTCAAGAGTTAGGCTGAATAAGTGGTCTAGAGCTGAAAATGTAGCAGAAAGAATATTAGAGTTATTAAGACCTGGGAAAGTTTAAAATTGATTTGAGGTTTCTTGATGAAATTTAAAATTTAAAAAAGGCTCAGAAATGAACTAAGCTTGTTGGTTTATTCTATCAATAAATGGTGACTCTGGCAATGCTATGCCAACAACAGTGTGAAAGGTTGGGCCCACCTGGTAGAGAAACAGGTAGATGTAGTTAACTGTGTTAGTCTGAAGTCAAGTAGCAGGCAGGGTAAATCTGCAATAGACTAATTAAAGTGTGTGTGTGTGTGTGTGTGTGTGTGTGTGTGTGTATTCTAATATAATAAAAGACTTAGTCTGTCTGTCTGTCTGCATGTCTGTCTGTCTCTAACTCTTTTGCCCAATTGCACATGCACGGATTGGCTGTGCAGGTCCAGTGGCTGGGGATGGGGCCAGCTGAGCAAAAATGGGAGCCCCTCCACCGGCGCTACCTCCTCCTGCAGCCTCCAGTGCGGCAGCTCCCTCTGCCCCACCTCCACATGTGGCAAAAAAATAAATTGGCAAAAGTACTTTACAAGTGGCAGCCAGCTGAGGAAAGACGGGAGCCCCTCCAACATCCTGCCTCCTCCTGCAGACTCCAGTATGGTGGCTCCCTCCACCCCACCTCCACAGAGGCAAAAAAGAAAAAAAATGGGGTAGAGCACTTTGAAAGCAGCGGGACCAGCTGAGGACATGAGATCCCCTCCATTGCAGTGGGGTTGGACCTGAAGTGGGTGGGGGGAGGAGGGGTAGTGGGGTTGGATCCAAATTGCGGGGGGTGGGGGCAGACCCGAACCGGGCGGGGGGGGAGCGGGATTGGACCCAAAAGGCGGGGCCGGGGGGGGGG